ATTCCAGTGTGATGTTGTGGTTCTCCTCTGCCTGACAGGAGGTCTGTGTCACATTGACTACAAATGTTCCTGTTGAGGAGACAGAGAGGGAAAGTGAGGAGCAGACAAAGTGACAACTTTAACATGTGAGCCTTTAAACTCCATCTATAGATGTTTGTGTGGAGAGTTTCACTGATTCACTGAATAACAGTGTGCTCTTATTGAGAACAAAGCTGGAAGGTCGGGAAACATGAGAGCTCAAAGTTGCTGCAGCTAAGAGGTGATGCATGAAACCAATAATTAATTATAGCTGCTGCGCAGCAATGGTCAGGGCCGGGCAATTTTAGGCAATTTTAGACAAATTTAGGGAATTCTGAGCAACAAGAGGCTGAAAGGAAGACAACAAGAAAGTTGCCATTACAATATACATTTTACATCAGTTGAGGCTTAAACTCACAACCTCTGACACCAAGGAGCATCTTCTATCTGACTGAACTAAATAGGAAGTGACAACTTATCTGTGGCTTCACAAATTGACTAAGCCAGCCAACAGGATGACAGCAGCTGTCAAGGCAGATTTCAAACTGTTGTCATAAATTCAGTTATCAAGACAAAAATTTGAAAATACACATCTTGCATCTAGACAGCATGGAGATGCCGTTAATTTGTTTTTCAACAATGATTGATTTACTCCATAAGTGAAAAACTGATGTGTAAAATGCCATTCTTGCATTGACTCCAATTGTTCATAGGAGTGCAGAATTTAAAATGCTGTCAAAAATTCAGTTTTTGATATAAAATTCTGATATTTGCCAGACGTCATCTACCATGACTCCAAAATTTCGTTATATTTTTGCAAGTATATGTTTACAGTACTGTTTATAGTCAAGCATATTGATGCACTGTAAAAAAAAAAAAAAATCTGAGGCCAATTTGTGGAGGACAGTCTGAAGGTGCTTTGTAACAAGTTTGGTGTCAATTGAGCAAAAATTGTGGGAGGAGATAGGTTTAAGAAGTTTTACAGTTTTTAAAAAAAACAGTGATGGACTTCATAATTTGCAATAGGTTTAAATGTACAAAAGTTTCTTCAGTATTGGGGCTACATTTTGGTGAAAGTTGTGAAGAAGAAGAAGACGCCCGGCCCCTAACTAGAAAGGCACTCGGACAGACTTCCTCTGAGACCAATAGTCCAGTCTTCCATGACAAGAAAAGCCTCAAGTACAACCACTATACATGTCTGGATATATTTCCACAACTATTAGATTGAAGTCAATGATGTATTGTTTGTATGGACTATAACATTTTTAACCACTAGATGGTGGTCTGTGTTTGGTCTATGTATAGTAACACTGGTCACAGGTGATATGAATCAGGTGTTATAAGGTCACGGGGGAGGAGGAAGTCTTTTTGAACACAGGTGCAGAAACATATTGTTCTTACCCTAAGCCGGGCACGGCATGAACATGGCATCTAGATCGCTTCACGTTCATCTCAGTAAATCATCACATTAATCTACTTATGTCTGTATTATCATGCTGCAATTAATGGGAACATCACCCAACCAAAGATGCTTTTTTGTTTTGGACATTAACTCATTTAACTGGATACGTGTCAAGAACATTATTCTGTCAACCCAAGTTGAAAAAGTAATTGGTGTATCTGCCTAGTGATTCAGATCTGCTCCAGAATTTAGTGGGTTCTTTTTCTTTGTTTGCCCGTGATACACCCTTCCACCAAGTTGCATGGAAATCAGGACGGTAGTTTTTCTGTAATCCTGCTGAGTTACAAACAATCATACCTTAAACACAACCTCCTGGTCAGAGGCATAAAGTCTGAGAGTACTCTGTCTTTAGTGTTAGTGGATGATAAAGTGAAGGTGTAAACTAACCACAGACACAGGAGGTCAGGTTGATGAGCAGCAGGATGATGCACATCATCTTCTCCCTGTGAGAGGAGACAGAGGTGAAGAGCTAGACAGTAATTATAATACTGGGGCGGACACATCCACCACAATATTCAAATATATCATAGTAGCCTATAGTATGCCAAGAAGAAAAGTTATGGTGTGTACTAAGCCTGCTCCCTAATAGCTGACCAAATGTTAGTCGACCAGAAAGGTCATTAGTCGCAAGAGTTCATTGGTTGCTTTGTCGCAGACCCCCACTCCCCCCTTGAAAAATAATGTTCCATTAAATCCATAAAGGTTTATTATATGATACAGGAGGGTATTAGGACCAATCAAAACTATGAACAGTACTTTTGTGGTTTCTCCTAGGTTGGGCCCACTTTGGATTTAAATTGACTTGACTATATCATCATATTCAAAATATTTCCATCCAGCGTTCGACTGAAAAACAAAACAAACTGAAACTATAGCAGAAAGGGCAGGAAACCACGAGCTCTCACCTCACCTAAAATACATGCGTCGAAAAAAAATACAGGAAACAAGTCGGCTGTTAATCATGTCACTTTACAGTTAACGTATACAATTCTTCCAAAATAAGGATGCTATGAATTGGATAAGAAAGAGGAGAGGAGAAAAAGCCTTCAGAGGCACCTAGTTGTTTTTTTTTTTATTTATTTCTGTTTCCTCCTCTCTCTTCAACAGCTGTGGGAACAGTCCAAATTACTGTCAGCTAATAGACTACAGGACTATTAACAGTGATATCAGCTCTTTGTATTTGCACATTACCTCATGTTTCATCTGGCACACCGGAAAGGTCCAAAAGTTGAATTCTGCACCAATGTAAAAGTTAGCAGGTGGAGATTTTTGGTGGGTAGATGGTAAGATGTCTTCCTCTGTGTCTCAGTGCAGGCACTTAGTGGTGATGGTGTTGCAAACAGCGCACGCTCTATGAAACTGCTGAAGTGTGATTGGTTGATCAGAGTGACTGATGGAAGTTGATTGGTTAACTTAATGGTTCTAACATATATGTGATGACTCTCTTACTGGCAGTCAGCCATAGAGGAACTCTGCTGTTCAGTTAGTCTGTGGCTCCTTTCCCATTCAGGTGTATAAAATAAACAGGTCTTAAGTTACAGTTTTAAACACATTTAACTTGTTATTTTAGACATGAACTGAACCACAGCCTCATATGAACTGTACTTTAGTCCCAGTGACTTTTTAAACACATTCAACTCAAGTCATTTAAAAAAAACAAAAAACAACAAAAAAATCCTGTAAATACATTTTAACCCTTTACACTTACAGTAAAATGTAGCATAACATGGAAATACTCAAGTAAAGTACAAGTACTTCAAAGTTGTACTTCAGTACAGTACTTAGTTACTTCCCACCACTGTCTGTGTGTCACAGTAAGCTGCTAATCAACAGTCTCCTACTGTGATGTGTGTAAGTATCTATATATCTATATGTATATCTGTTCATATATTATTTTGTGTTGTTTTATCAGTGTTTCCATCACAGCTCTTTATTGAGTTAAGTTTACTTTTTAAAATTGTTCCATATTGTTCTTTAACCTCAGTTATGATGCTGGCCCGCTCGTAAAGAGACCATATCATCTCTGGACATGAACATTCACCACAGAGAAGACGGCAGCATTAAAATCACAGTTTACAGGAAACCCACACACATGGACCAGTACCTCCTCTGGACATCAGAACATCACATCCCAGATGGGCCCTGAACAAATGAAAACAAGTTAAAACCAAAGAGAAGAAGCAAGAAGAAAGGAAAACAAAACACACACAAAAACCTGACAATAAAAACAAAGACACAACATCCGGGGGATAACAGAACCAATACAACAGATCATGAAAAAACATCACATCAACACAGCCGTAAAGCCACATACAAAACTCTGTCAGCTGCTAGTAGGCCTACACCTGCAAGACAAAATAGAACCGGACAAAAAATGCAGTGTAATATATGAAATACCATGCAAATCATGCAAGAAAACATACATCGGAGGAACAGGAAGATCATTCAATACAAAGAATAAAGAAAACTTAAAATCAGCCATCACAGATCACTGCAGGAGAAATAACCACATTATGGAGACCATCCAACGGCGGGGGGCGTGGCCGGCCCGACACTTCTGAGCATGAGCATAACTTTCATTTCAACATTGGGGGGGACGGGGACACATTAAGTGAGGGTCTGTGCCTAAGCATCCAGCATATAATGCTGATAGATAATGTCCAGCTGCCCAGCGGCTAGCAGGTTAGACATAGTGGTTAGCTATTATGCTAGCATGCTGGCTGGAAACAGACGATTATTTTGTTCTGTTTTGAGCACATAATACTCACTCCGTCTCCGAATCTCGTGGCTGTAAGTTGCTCATAACGTAGGCTCTGGCCTCGGATGCGTTATCAAGCGATTTCTGGAGTAGTTATCCAAAGTATAGCCAGGTACAAGATGCCATACTTGACCTCAGGGCAGTGGCGCAGCAGCCCCCTGACCTCATTGAAGGCAGCCCGCTTCGCCCTCACCGAGGGTGTGTAGTCGGGGTAAATGTGGATCCGCTTGTTGTTGTGAAAGATGGCTCCCGCTGCCACAGATTTCCGCAGGACGTCCACCTTCTCCTGGAAGTAGTGAAACTTAACCACAATGGGTCTAGATGGGTTCCCATCTTTCCGCTTGGGCTGCAGACTCCTGTGAGGCCGGTCCAACTTCGGAGAGTAGTCGAGGGCTAGCGCATCTTGTAGCATCTTATCAACAGCAAGCTGCGGTCGCGTTTCACCAAAGCCTTCATCCACGCCAGTGACTCTGCAGTTGTCTCTCCGCTGCCTAGATTCCAATCTTCTGTCGTAGCCACCAGCTGGTTTACTTGGGAGGTGAGTGATTTCACTGTGTTTTCCAGTTCGACGACCATGTCTGTGTAGGCATTAGCCCCGTCCTCCAGGCTAGCGATGCGCGTAGCATGCACAGCATTAGCTTTTTCAACTTCTTTCATTGCCTTGGTGTGTTCAGCACGGGTATTTGCAATCTGCTGGTGTAGCTCTCTTGAAAGATCTTCAGCTTTCTTGTTTGACGAATCTATCTTTGCTAACACCCTTTGCTCTGATATTAGCATGCTTATGAATGTTAACCACATATAACGCGACCGGCAACTCTGAAATGGAGCAACTGAGAGAGGCAACGTGTTGGGTCCTGGACTATACCATTATGGTATGGTCCAGTAGGGGTGTTTGAAATAGTTGGGAAATGGTTAAGAAAGATATATAAGTGTTTAGAGCCGCTGGGCTGCGATTTTTACGTCTTCATTGGTGTTATTTTTTTTGGGGGGGGGGGCAATTTCATCTCCTCTAAATATTGGAGGGGACATGTCCCCTGCATCCCCCCCCTGATAGTTACGCCTATGCTTCTGAGGAAGACTGGAGACACAGTCGAAACTGTCAATCAGGTAAAAGAAACATCTCCTACACCTTTTGTGTGAAGATAAGAAAATATTGAACGATTGTACATGATACTGCTGGGTAATCTGCTGAAATAAGTTCACCTCAAAACAAATGAGTGATGCTTTGACCTGCATGATATTCCAATGTCTTTACTGTGGCCGTTCTCACTATGATTCTCCCGAAAAATACACCAATTGAAACTGACAGAATGAAAGCAGTTGTCATGTTATCATGTGAATAGTGGGGGGAGGAGGGCAGATGGACACTTAGCACTCCATCTCTGCTGTGAATGATTCATTGAACAACTTTTACGTTTCATCTAAATCATGTTAGTTTAAAAATCTCCTCCAGCAGTGGACACATTGGAAAGTGTAAACTATGAGGTTTCTGTCAATATGTTTTGTTTGACTCATTGGGAGAATGGTGGCAGGATGTCAAACATAAAACAAGAGCTTTTTTCATGGCTGAAGGTAAAAAGGCAGCTGCAAATAAACGAGCCCTCCAAAAGAGACTGTAAGACAAGTTGCAGCGTTACTATCTCCTTTTACTGTCAGGTTTTGATGTGAATGAGGACATTGTTAGGTCCAGGCTCTGTATTGAAGCCGTCTATAAAGCACATTTAAAAATAACTCACATTGACCAAAGTTCTGTACAAAAAATCAGCAACAATTGAAACTCTGTGAATGAAAACATGAGCTCTGGTGTTTTTTTATTATTATTATTATTATTATTATTTATTTTAAATAGTACAGTAACCACACCATAATCCTTTGTCACTCACGGAGAAGCTACCTGACCAGTTGTTGTGTTAGGGGCAGGGCTGCTGCTGGGAATATAGGTGCCCTTTCTTTGTGGTGCCCAGTTCCACCCCAACACACACACACACACACACACACACACGGTGGATACCGCAAAGCCAGGAAATAACACTTCAAAATAAAAGCTCTGTGCTGGCAAATCACTGTACTTCAAAATAAAGTGTGTTTTTAACCACTTGACACGTGCGTAAGTCACTTGCGGTCCATTCAGAATTAACTTGTGGCTCACCTCTGGACTGACTAACCAGTTGGGATCCACTGGTCTAAACGATTACACCTGTAACCTGCAGACAGGAGAACAAACAAGACCAAAGAGCTCCCTCTGCTGCTCTATAATATTAATACCAGTGTTAACAACTCAGAGCTTAACTTTTGAGCATACATACAATGAAATAATGACAGTAAATAACAGACAGTAAAAAATAACAGCCAGCTGACAGGCACAAATGAAATAGTAACAGTGTATCTGAAAAACAAACATCTACAAAAAATAAGAGTTAAAGCTCTGCATGTTAGAATTAGGCGGCACGGTGGTGCAGTGGTTAGCACTGTTGACTCACAGCAAGAGGGTTCCTTCTGTGTAAAGTTTGCATGTTCTCCCCATGTCAGCATGGGTTTTTTCCAGGTACTCCAGCTTCCTCCCACAGTCCAAAGACATGCAGGTTAATTGGTGACTCTAAATTGTCCGTAGGTGTGAATGTGAGTGTGAATGGTTGTCAGTCTCTATAGCCCTTTTTAAGTAGGAATTGTGCAAATTTGCAGGAAAGCCCAATCAGTCTTCTTTCAGCATTGGCAGTATAAAAACAAAATCGAGGAGTGCAGCAAAATGCCGCCTGCCTACTTTTGTTCATACAGAATGTGAAGTTTGTGGATAGACTTGAGAGGGAGACCAAAAAGGAGGGAGTTACAGTGATCTATATGGGATGTAAGCAGGGTGTCAGCAAGAATGGTGGTGCTGTGTGGTGGGAGGGATGGGCGAAGGCGGTTAACACTGCGTAGATGGAAGTAGGTAGACTGAGTGACATCACCGATGTGAGCTTGGAATGAGTGTTGTCGAGGATGACGCCCAGACTCTTAACCTGCGGGGAGGGGGAACTGAGGAGTTATCAATATCAAGTGTTTTTGCTGAGGTGGATTTGGTGTCAGTGAGAAGTAACTCAGTTTTATCACTGTTCAATTTGAGGAAGTTGCAGGAGAACCAGGATTTGATTTCCTAAAGGCAGTCAGCGAGGGAGGGTGGAGGTAGGTTTGGTGGCCAGATAGAACTGGGTGTTTTTTTAAAAAGTTTTAGTTTCAAGCTTTAAATGAGCTGAGTTATTCCTAATTTTCAACTCAATTTAAGGTTCGTGAAAAAGTATTTCCTGGGGTGTAATTCCCCAGGTGGTGTTGTCGCCACACTATCAAAATAATGGACACTGTAATGAGCTGTTAAAACACTACTGCTTCATTACACAGGTATTTAAATAGTGATTATGTGGAGATTTTACTACTTGCTTGTATAGTAAATATGTAGTCACAACACTACAGCAACACTACATATTTTAAATAGTGATCAATTAGATTTTAGTGCTTGAATATACATACTTGATGTTTATACACACTGTAGTTTTTCATGAGGCTCTGTGTGTATCTTAATTATCAGTGTTCAGAATAGACAATGAGAGCCTACTGTAAAATTGTTTTGTTTGGTTTTTTTTTTTATATAGAAGCGAAGGTAATTTCTCAGGGATTTCATTTCGGGATATTCCACTGATCATTCATATACATTTACAATTCAATAAAATTAAAGGATATTTGTGATATAATATAGTAACTGAAAACACAACAGAATTTTTTTAATTGAAATGATTTATTACTTTATAATCATCCAACCACACGCACAATTTACAAAAACAGTTGTAGTCTGGCGAAATTAAACCAGCACAGGACACAGAAATATCTTTTGGGGTCTTTATCTGAATAATAGAATATGGTGTTCAGCAAATAAAAAGAAATAATAACAGTTTCCAAATAAAAGTGGCAGACTGTCCTCTGCCCTATCTGCAGTCCTTGTAGATAAATAAAAAAAAGCAATTGTTTAAGTCTCTAAGAGGAGGTAGAGCTATAATCAGTCAGATGTGACAACTGTTTTCCTGTTGGACTAGTCAGGAAACACTGCCCTGACAATTATAGTGAGATAAGA